AAATGGAATAACATAAACAGATGCAAAACCCCGTCATGCACCGCAACACTTTTGCAAAATATAACATATAAGATGACATATAAGAGGAACATCGTAGTTTGGTTTAAAAAAAGGATTTTTGTTTTATTATAATTTAGTTTGTTGCAAGGATTTTACAGAAATAGAAAATTGCACCATAAGCCAACCGTCACTAGGATGTGCATGACAAGGAAGGGCTATATATACTGCATGCATTGTTTAGGTAGTTAACATTGTAATACTTCTTGAGCTCCTTGAGTTATTTACTGTCGCAGGTAGGGGCTTCGGCCGGAGAATAAGTGTTTGGGCCGGTATGATTTAAGGAGGCTGAAATTAGGACCGTCCCACCGGGCAATTGCCCGCTATCACAGATTACCAGTCCGAGTCATCTGTGTGTGTGTCGCAATGAGTGCAAATATGCTCCCACCCCTTCCATAGACACTCTGGTGCACCGCTCAAAAAACTGTAGGTGATCGCAGACAGCAGGCCACTGATTGGTCAAATCTACATCCGTGCTACACTATGCGTATTTCCTGTTTGGTACCTTACTGGCTTGTTTTTGCTGGGACCCTTTTTAAACCTGGATCGCCGCTCTTTTTCGCCCTCATATCCCTCCATTGTCGCACAAACTTGCACCCACTTCCTCACCGCCTCGGCTGTATCTACACTCACAGCTAGTTCCTGATTGTCCCTCTTGCATTGTGGCTTGGAATAACATAGTGCAGACTAGGGATGGAACGGTTTATGAAAACGGTCCGAACCGTTCGGTTCGATTGTCTCGGTTCGGTTCGCGTGTGTTGCGTTCGGTTCATGCGCTGCTCCTTTTTCTCATAGGCGAGGCGTTTACACTCCAGAGCAGAAGGTGGCGGTACTGCGACCAAAGCCAACCACCAGTAGTAAATAAGAAGAAGAAGCGAAGCAGCTTAGCCGGGTGTAGCAGAAAAAAATCAGTTGTTGTGGAGAATTGTGTGGGTATGGCGAGTGGGAAAGAACAGGAGTTGGAAGACGCGCCAGCAGCACTTTATAGGTCTGCTGTATGGGAGCGCTTTGCATTTAGAGTGACCTACGATGATGGCGGAAAGAAAGTTGTGGATAAAAGTGCAGCAGTGTGCAAGCATTGTGCAACACGTTTTGCTTATGCTAACAGAAACACGACCAACATGTCAGGCTAACAATCAACATATACCGAACCGAAAACCGTGACCACGAAACCATGAACCGAACCAAACCGTGGATTTTGTGAACCGTTCCACCCCTAGTGCAGACCACGCTTCAATATTAGGCATAAGTCAAAAGTATCTGCAACAAGCTCACTGCGACACACTGCTGCGGGAGGATAACAAGCCCTTAAGCCATGGTGAGGGCAGCAGGAGACGGACAACGTCCATTAAAGAGAAATTGTCTTAATGTCACGTTTCTGTTTCATTTGGCTTAAGTTAAAAGTCGTTTTTTTAATGTAATAAAGTTTTAATTAAAGTCCATTCAACCTTTTTAGATCCAGTCAATTAAACCTTCCTCCATTTTTGTCTATTAAGCACTATTTTACTAAAAAAAAAAAAAAAAAAAAGAAAATCACCTAAAAATATTGCTTCTCATTTGGTGCCTTTCACCAACTCATCTCTCCTTTCCACTCTATGAAAGTTAGACATAGCTGAATTTTATTTCAAGTAATTTGCTGTGACCTTTTAAAGTGTCAAGAAACATTTTTTGGATTGGAAAACAAGGTTTCTGTCAAACACTATGGTGCTTTTTTTAAATGCAAGTGACAGAAAATAAATAATACCTGGAATCACTTCACACCCCAAAGAAGAAACCTCAACAGGTCAGAAAGAGGAACAGTAGCACTAAGTGGTTGGTGTACTGCGGCAAAGCAGATTGTTAATTCTTTATCTTCCACAAAGTTCACCAGCTGCTTCTTTGGTATCTGCAGCTACATTTGGACATTTTTACAGCTTACATGTGTTTTTGATTGGACTTTTCTATAGTAGCATGAAGTGCTGATGCTGCAGTTGATGGCAGCATGATGTAATGGGGAAAACAGGAAAGAAAACTGCAGCTCAGCATAACCTAAAATTAGCTCTCATATTGAGACAATATAATACTGACTGTCTTTGTAGACATTGATCTAATTGTTGGATTACTCATGATGCAAGATAGAGTCAAAATGTTTAAGTAAGCTTGTCTCAAGAAATAAACAGCTTCTCTTCTTGCCTTTCATCGATCAAAAGCTTGGTTACATGAACAGTCCCAGTTCCTGAGAATTTCGTTGAAACTTCCTTTGCCTGTAGTGATTATAAATCTTTTATGTGATTAAAGGCACAAGACCTTAAGTGAAGGTTCTCTGTAAAACCTGGTTGTGATTTTTCTTAGCCACTTCCAGCTTAAGCAACACAGGTCTTTTTATAACTGTGTTACCAGCTCCCACATTTTTTCCTCCTCAATGAATACCATAGTCTGGTAAAGAAAAACAGCTGTGGCCACTAAGACGTAGCAGGCAGAGCACCGAAACACTGACGATGGTGTTTTGGCTGTTTGCCTCGGACGGTGCTGTGAAGCAGGAAGTTTGACGCTGAAAGCACAGGAAGTGGCTAATGTAGAGCTGTGCTCCCCTTTTCTGTCCAGCGGCTATAGGCTGAAGTCAGGTCATTTTTAAACAAATGGTATTTTCTCTCTGATGGAATGAGGACTGAAAAGCGGAGGGCATACTGACGGTTTTTGTGCAGTGTAATATTTAATGATTTAATGGAACCTCAAACATGGTCAAAAAGTAATACATTTCTCCTGGAAAAGAAAGGAAAGCGGTGAAGACCATAGTGTCAGGGCAAAGGCAGAGAAATTACCTTACTGAGAATATTTGCTTTTAATCAATTTAAGAACTTGGCCATTTGGTCCGTGAGGCAGTCACCCTGTCTACTTTTAAGACTAGGCTTAAAGTGTTTTTTTTTTTTTTTTTTTATAAAGCTTATAGTTAGAGTGGCTCAGGTTATCCTGAGCTATCTCTATAGTTATGCTGCTATAGGCTTAGACTGCTGGAGGACATAGGGACCCCTTTCCCATCATTCAGCTTCATTCTATCTCTATTCTCCCACTCTACAGAATTTTTTAGTTCAATCTCTAACATTCTGCTCTCTCTGATATTTCTCATAGTAGCTTCATCTGGTCTGTTCCTGTTTGGCTGTGACTCCATCCTGGAGAGAAATATCAGCTGTGCTGCTGCCATCCACACCTTTGTTTATAGATGTTGGAGATCGGCCTGTTTTTCAGTGTAGACCTGTTTCTTTGACTGACTGACTGGCTGGATGTGCTCTTTTCGTCCTCTGATGTGGGGGCTGGCTCGGATCTTGTCTGCCTGGCTGTGTCTTTCCTGGACAGGGCCGCCTGTGGAGCTGGTTGACAAGTTCCTTTTGTATCTCTGTACCATGCAACACTGGTATCTCAGTATGTCTGCTTCTGTCTCCTTGAACCCCAGTCGGCCTCGGCAGAAGGCCGCTCCCACTGAGCATGATTCTGCTGGAGGTTTCTTCCTGTTAAAAGGGAGTTTTTCCTCTCCACTGTCCCTACAAGCATGCTTAGTGTGAGGGACTGCTTTTAAGTCACTGAGTCGATGCAATCAACTGGTTTTCTTTCGAAAACTTTGAATCAATCCAACTGTATGATCTAGTGAACTGTAAAGTGCCTTGAGAGGACATGCGTTATGGATAGAAATAAGCTGAATTGGGTTGAATTTGATTTTAGAGACAAAATACAGATTAAAAGGAAAGACAGCAGATAAATGTTGCTGTTTACATGTTCTTAGGTGCTTGTTATTTATTATAAAGACTGTAAATAATTGTGTTTCTAGGGTTTGTTAGTTTGTCTTTAATATACTCTGTAGAACATCTCCTTTTTCTTGTGGTAATTGGTGTTTTGTAGTTTTATTTCAAATTGAGCTGTAACTAGAAATGTGGAATATGTCCACCTCTGTGAAAGTTTCAATGCACAGTTATAGGTGAACAGGTGAATCTCAATTATTCTGAATACTTCAGAAAACCTTTACTCTCGATACAGATAATAAAATGCAGAAAGCTACATTTTATTTTATTTCTTTAAAATTCAATACACAGTGTCCTTCTGCAAGTGAAAACCTAAAACTAATCTACTCAAATATAAATGAATGAATGAATATATAAGAGTGATGAAATTGATATTACAGTAATGTCATGGTACACATAATCCGTGGAATTGTGCTGATCTAATACTCTCCACAAGAAGGATAAATTATAAAGCTCCATCGCTAAAGATATAATAGATATAATATATTTGCAAATTCATAGAAAGTTTAGTGAAAGAAAAAGTGTTTCACTGTAGAAATTACTTGTATTTCACAATTTACTGCATTGCCTTTCAGAGTAAAATACGGTCTCCTAGTTTTTCAGCTATGTCATGTCAACATCCTGTTGGTTTATTCTAAGCATATCAAATCTTTACCTTTATATACAGTAGGAAGCATTTTGTAAATTTGAGAGCTTAGCTTCATGGATCCAGTTGTTCTTACGCTTGGGGACCACTTTGCTTTGTCAACACTTTGCAGCTAGATGTTAAATTTAACTTTCAAAGGTACTAAATTGATTTGAAAGAGAGAAAAAAAGCAGTTTTGTAGCTTTAGTTGACAAGTATAAGTTTTATTGTTTGTTTGTAACATGCATGGATGAAATGCTGGCTTCATATATCAAATATTTGCTTTTTCATAAACTTTTTTTAAATAATATTATTAATCTTTAGCCCCTAGTGGGCACTCCATCACTCTTCTTCCTCCATCAGGTAGGGAACTGAGAAGGAGGAAGTGGTGTGTACCGTATATAAGCGTGTGCTGAAGTGACACTTCTCTGAACGCATGTTGCTGTGAGATTAGAGAAAGAGGAATCAAGAAATTCTGCATCGCTGAGTTTAACGGTGAAGGTTTTTTTGGATGCAGCTAACTTTGTGCTTCTTTCCGTTTTCAGCTGCATGTGGCTGCTGTTTGCATTTTGCCTTTTTATGAGGAATGAACTGAGGTGCTGCTTCTACTGTCTTCTGAATATACTGCTAATTCTTCTATGGACACAGATTGAGTAAGTAGATGTATTCTCCTTCCAATGTCACATATTAGCAGTTTGTTAATGCAAAACATCTGCTAGTAAAACAACCCTTTTTTTCTTGTAACTTTGGGCTGAGGATCTGCTTTCTGCTTTTCTGTCTTATGCAGAAGTGTGAAGAGTCGAGCTCAGTTCTCTTCTCACTGCAGACTTACAGTTATGAAGCATAACACAATCCAGTCTTGTACTTGTTGAGTTATGTTTACATAATTTGCTCTGCAGGCTCTGTTTCAGTCTAATAATGGAGCTTTCATTTAAATGTCAAATCTCTAAGCTGTGAGAAAGGAGCTATTTAAGACAGACAGTCCCCCAGAGGGTCGGCCTGCAGAAGTCATTCATCAGGAACTGGTTAGGTTAAATAAAGATTAACTTAATCAGTTCCAGGTTTTCTTTTTTCTTTGTTTGTGTGTAATTTTGGTTAAAATAAAATCTTTCCAGGTGATTCTCTCCCAGTGCTCCACCATACTGTGATCTTTGAAGCTTTTGTTCGATGTGTCTTTTCACCGTTGTTTTTTGTGGCGTTTTAATCAGTTTTTAGCATTTCAAGATAATCCAAACTCTATATTTTCGGAACTCCTAACTACAGCTGGAAAAAGGGGACAGTTGCTTTGTTTGAAAAGCAAAGTTTGTGCATATTAAGCTTTCTTAGGTTACTTTCATCCGCAGTGACAGGAATACAAGCCAAGCTGCCATTTCCTTTCAGCGTTTTCAGAACGAGGAACCGTTTTTTTTTATAACTGCTTATTACCTTTGTGCGTACATACCACAGGACGCACATCTGACTCTGTGAAAGAAATTCCTTTTTTTTGTCGCTTTAAGAATGAGGAAATTTCCATAAATGACAGACACAATAAGTAATTAAAGGTATGAAGACTGGTTCAGTTAAACTGTTTAACTGAATGTCCAAATGCAACAACAGAAACCATTTATGCAAAAGTTTTTGCTTTAAAAAGCACATCAGAGATGTGAATGACTAAAGATGAAATTAGATTTTATAATATCAACATTTCACAGTGGAAATCAAGTTGCTGTTCTAAGAGCTGCAGTAATAATTTTAATTTTATGTTATCCAGATATGCTTCTTTTTGCTTTTATTCTTTCCTCTGACTGTGGGTGATGTTTTAGATGTTTATTTTGCAGGAAAAATGGAAGCAGTTTATTTTTATTAGCTAATTTGAGAGAGTTTGCTAATAAAGACTTCCTGTCAGGCCTGTTGAGAAGTTTCCGCACTTTCTGTGACAGATTAGAAACGAACACTGTGACTAATTAGCAATAGCCATGCTAACCGGCTAACCATGCTAAAGTTAGCTTCTGTTTCACAGCTTCGTATTAGAGCTAAGCTAAAGAACTGTGACTCATTTCTTAATAAAATATCAGATTTGTTTCATACCAACTCGGATGAATCTATATTGATTTATTCATTTTTTTCCATTTCATAAAAAGGATGACAGATGGAAGAAATTGCCTTCAGAACCTTTGCTTTCCCTTAAAACATCCTTTCTGAGATTTAACCTGAATTCAAAGTTAAACTCAATCCAAACTGAGAAACATACTAGTGAAACACGTTGACAGGTTCTTGTTATCATGAAAGATTAAAGAATGACGAGGTTTCAGAAGCTTTTGGTCTTGCAGATGTAGTTTATCAGTTATCAGTAGCCTACACTGCAAAAACTATAGAAAATGAGTAGAAATGTATTAAGATGAGTGTATTTACCCTTAGTTTGAACAGGTAAATAAAACGATCAGCCAATGGGATGAGTATTTTTTAGCAATAAGATAAAATACTTAGATATTATGAACTTGAAATTAGAAACTACGTTTGTTTTTTCATATTTTTTTAAATGTAAATTGTCTTATTCTGTCGACAGTCTAACCTACCTGCTCAGTTAAAGACAAGATACACTTATTTTAATAAAAATGGACTTACTTAGATTGTAATTGTATACATACATATACATTTAAGAAGAAAAGTGACAAACTGATGTCAACCAGAAGAGTATCTGTGAAAAAGAATCAGGATTATTATAAAATGTAAAGCTTCATATACAGCAAGTATGATTTAATGACCCAGTTAGCCCTAACTTGAACTGATCAAATCATCCTGTGCTCAATAAAAATGTATTTCATGAGACTCTTTTTCTGTATCACTTTAATAGACGTTACATCTCAGGTGCTGAATATTAGACTCAGGATGACCTTTAGTAAAAACAAGCATTAAACATGCAATATATAAGATTACTCATTCACTATACACTATTGCTTATATTTATTGAATTACATATTCCACACAGATTACAGGTGACATAAGGCATATTTGTTATTTTTCAAATCTTTATGTTGAAAACAAAGGATGGGGATTCTTGGTTAGATCAGAGTAGCTTTGTTGGTCACCCAGCCAGGAGCAGTTATCCAGTCGGGGGACATCAGTTTCGGTCCGGCCTGTCTAAAGCCGCTTTTCTAGAAAATAAAGCGTGTTTTTCAAACTTAGGTCGACCCGCTAACAATCGGCATTTGGCTCCCTTCCCACTGGCAAAAAAAACAGTGTTTAAAGGCAACTGTGCCCCTGCCCCTTCCACACTCTGCTGCACCTCTCCCAGATTGTAGGTGACCGCAGACAGGAGGCCTCTGATTGGTCAAATCTATATCCGCTCTACACTATGCGTATTTCCTTTTTGGTACCTTACCGGCTTGTTTTGTTTGTATGACCGCCATTGAAAAAGGACTCGTTTTCCACAATGGCTGCGCTGCTTCAATTACACTTATGTTGTTGCTATAGTTTTTGTCCAATCAGATTTAAGCCTTAGTGCGTTGTTATGTCGATCAAATCTGCCCAGGGACTTCAGAATCAGCAGTGCTGGCTGACGTTACATTCACAATATTAGTGAGGAACATTTACTTTAACCAATCCCACTGGAGCAGCTAGAGGGCCCACCCTAACGTCAGCGTTTTCTGTCCTCTGATTGGTCAGTTGGAGCAAGATGTTTAGAGCCAGGTTAAGCCAGGGACAATCTGCATTTAAGATTCACCTGTGTTAAATGTTTTTCTGGCCTCAATGGCCAATATTTAATTGAGATACTAAGACTTCCTGCAGAAAGTGCGTAGTATGGATTTTGTTTTTCAATATCAGCTTCTATAGTGAGATATATTTTATTTTCATGTTTTTTTGCGCTACTTTATCTGGTAATTAAATATAAGACTGCCACTAATGATTATTTTGCAAATAGATTAATCTGTTTATTTCTTTTACAATTAATTGAATCATAATATAGCCAAAGAATTTTTACAAAATTAAGCCAGGTGAAACTTAAAACTTTTCCACTTGAGGTGTTCTGGATAGAGCATATTGACATACATTTAAAAAAAAAAATCTTAAATGCAATATGTTTTTATATTTATATATTTATATATATATATATATATATATATATATATATATATATATATATATATATATATATATATATATATATATATATATATATATATATATATATATTTTTTTTTTTTACACTTTTGGTATATTTTCTGCTGTAACTGGGTTGTTCTGTCAGCTGCATTCAGGTTTTAGGGTCCCTATACCCCAGTTGACAATTAATCGATTATAAAATCAGTTGACAATTACTTCAATAGTTGATTAATCACGATTAATCCGACTAATTGTTTCAGCCATAATTAAATGCATATTCAATCTAAACGGCTACCGATTATGTAAACATGGCAGAGCTGCAGTTATAGAGTAGAAGTTTGCTGTTGTCTTAATTGGGCATTTCATATTTGAATATTATTGGTGGTGTCTGTTATTAAAATGTGAAAGTGGTGATATTAACCCCTTGTTGCAAATATGCAACAAATCCTTTGTGTTACTAAGATAGCATGTGCATGCACTCAGTGGCAGTTAGATGTCAAGGAATTAAGAAATAGGTTAAGTTTAGGGCCGCCCACTGAAGGGTATCAGATGCACCACCTGCCACTGCCTGCTTCTATTACCATGTTTTTCCTAACCATACTGTAACCAGTGCTAACCCTTATTCCTTGCATTTTCTTTTTTCCTGTTCCTGTCTAGAGATTTTTATTCCTTTTTCAGACCTGACCTTTATTTATATAATCATCCATTTATTTTATTTTTTTTACAAGGAAACTTCAGTTCAGTACAAAGATCTAGAAACATATTTGAACTTCTGCTTTGGAAATGTATGTTACAACAAGCTAAAGCAGACATGTATGCAGAGTGTATTGCAAGCCCTGTGTGACAGATGTTGGTTCATTTAATAGAATTTGCATACAAGAAAGTGAGCAAAATTGCCACATGGAGGACTAAAATGACAGCAGCGGAGCCACATCTGTTGCTGAATGGTAAAGGCGAGATGTGTGTTTGTGTGTGAGCGAGATCACAAGAACACAGGATGTTAGCTTAACCACTCAGCACAGTTTTCTGCACAGCATCAGACACATTTATCACATTTTGGCCTGCATTCGGAGTGTCTAAATTTACAGTTTCTAATAATTCAAATAGAAGGACAGTCAGAGCTTAATGTTTGACCGCCGGTGCGGCCATGTTTGTGTATATGCCTATTTATGGGACTGACCTGAAAGCAAAGGGATGTTTGAGGTTTGGTACAGCTTGTCTTACACAGTAGTTAGTTTCTTTGACCTCTAAAAGCTTTGGTGGAACTACAGATATAGATATACATATAGATGTTCTAACACAGATTAGGATTGAGCTTTTATTTTCTTGTATCTCTCCTTTGAAAGACAACGGGATTAAACTGATTAGCGCATCAATTAATTTGGAAGCAAAACAACCTTTCTGCTTTTATTTTGAGGTGCCTGAATATATTTGCTGACACTGGAAAAACAATCTAAAAATGAGTAGAATGTCTTAAATTAAGTGTATTTACCCTTAATTTGAGCAGGTAAATAAGATAATCTGCCATTGGAATGAGCATTTTTACTCTTAATAGACGTATAAAATAAAA